ATGATACATTGGGCCAGAGATTTTGGTTATAATATACAATATGATGAATGGTCAAAATTATGGAATGAAAGATTAAAATTTACGGCATGTACTGCGTTAAAGGAAAATGTGATGAAAATGGTATACAGATGGTATATAACGCCAGTAAAACTAGCTAAAATGTATAAAACATGTAATAAGTGTTGGAAATGTAAAGAAAAAGAAGGGACATTCTATCATATGTGGCGGGAGTGTAAACAGGTGAGAGGCTTCTGGGAAATGATATATAATGAATTGAAAAAGATGTTGAAATATACGTTTATTAAGAAACCGGAGGCCTTCTTATTGGGATTGGTAGGAAATGAAATAAGTAAGAAACACTGTAAACTTTTTCAATACGCAGTTACAGCAGCGAGAATACCTCTGGCCCAAAAATGGAAACAGGAAGAAATACCGACGGTGGAAGAATGGAGATTGAAATTGACTGATTATGCAGAACTGGACAAACTAACAGGGAAGATTCGGTATCAACGAGACCAAAAGTTCATCGAGGACTGGGGAAGATTTACAGATTATCTGAAAGGAATATGTGATGAACAGATAACGTTTGCTGGTTTTCAAGAGACTCTGTGAAAAACAGAGGAATATTGTTAAAAAGAAAATAAGAGGAGGGAAGGAGATATCTAAACGCAATACTAAGTTAAGAAATGCGTTAATAATATTGATGCAAATGAAAGATCGGCAGAGGAGCTGAGGGAAGTCAAAAAAAGAGATGAATGTGTGATAAAATGTGAATTGATTGTATAAAAAATTGTTATTTTTTCTTTTCTGGAAAATGAATAAAAATATTATATATATATATATAAAAAGGAATAGAGCACTTTGATGAACAAGTAAACCTGATCTTTGGTCATGCAAAGTTTATGGCCTTCTTCTGGTTTTTTCTTTTCTTTCAACTGCATATAGCAAGGCCTGAGAACAGATCATAAGAGTGCTTACGGTCGACAGCAGTGTTCGCCAACTTGGTGCCCTGCAGATGTATTGAACTACAACTTCCACCAGCCCCTGCCAGCTCAGATTGGTGAAGGTTGGTCCACAGACTCTCAATGTCAATGCAAACATGGAGTTCATGCAATATGTTATACACACATACCTCATGGCGGGGAGAATAGATTTGGAACCATTTATTCCATTTTTAATTCAGGCAGAGAAAAAGAACAGTCTTGACTTGGCTGGAAAAGATTGTTATTTAATCTCTGGATGGCCACATGAACATGTCTGGAAGTACAGTGGTACCTCAGGTTACATACGCTTCAGCTTACATACTCTGCTAACCCAGAAATAGTGTTTCAGGTTAAGAACTTTGCTTCAGGTTGAGAACAGAAATCGTGCTCCAGCGGCACTCTCGAAATTATTTCTCAGTGTGGGCTCTCCTAACCATTCTCGGCACCCTTAAAAAACTAGGGTTCGACTTCCAGGGTGGCGCCATTGGTAATGGCGGACTCCCTCTGAACTGGAGGGACCAGCTCCACAGGAAACGGGTCTTTTCCGCTACGGTGAAGTGGGGACCCATTCAAAAATCACAGGCGGATGAAGCCTGTGACCATGGGACTCGGCAGGCACCTTTAGCGCCCCCCCAACCCGCAAAGGAACCTACTAACGGGCTCCGGAGCGAAGAGGGGGAAGTGGCGCAGTGCTGAGAGTCAACTGCTTCTTCCATGGAGCGAAGCCGCACAGCCGTTGCCGGAGAGCGCTGCCTTTTTCCTGGGACAATTTGGCTTTTAAAACAATCACCCGTGAGTACTTAAATTTCGACAATTGGACTCTAAATAAGGATTTGCGAGCTGAAAGGAAAATTGGACTTAAAAGTTTATTTTAATTTGGCACTGAAACGGGAAGGTCTAAACAGGAAGTCAGCCTTCCGTTTCTTTGTAGATAGATTAAAGCAAAGACATGGCAAACTAGAGTTCTGAAAATCGCTTGTAAAGGATTAACTTCCATCATTTAAAATTGTTGAACCCCCTTCGGAAGCAGGAGAAGAGGGGGGATTTTTTCCGGACTGTTTAAACCTGCAGAAGTGAGTGTAAAGCAAAGTAACTTTCCACCGTCCTGATCCTGGAGCGGGGTGTCAGGACTGACGTTTTTTGAAGCTCATTGACCAGAGACAAACGTTTCTGACAGATAGCTAAAGGAAGAGAAACATAGTGATTCCATTTTTCCCCTTCGCATTTTAAAGGAAGAAATATTGACAAAATATCTGAAAAAGGAAACTTTGTTGTTAGATCTGTCTTTAAAAGAAAAGAACAATCACAAGTTCTTCCCCTAGAGGGAGCCTGTGAAACTGTAACCAATTTTGAATCGGGGAGCTTGCAGCTGTTACAGATTACGATCGTGGGAATAGACTTCTGACCTTGCAGGACAGTGTATTCAGAAGCTCTGTTGTGTGCTTTCTGTAAAACAAGTGCCCTACTGGAACAGCTACATGAGAAGACGGACTTGATGACTGATGCGATTAGAAATTTTGGACAGGCAGTGGGATATTATATAGAGCCTACCCAGGAATTAGATCAGGAGTGTGCCCTGACAGAACAGATGAGGGAAGAGGATGTTGCTGAATCTTGGGCGCCAGAGATGGAGGGAGCTGCAGCCCAGCAGGAATATGAATTCTTGGATTTGACAAATGAACTTGGAAAAAGCCAGATTTGGAAAGATAAAGTTTGGTTTGGTTTGGAAATGGGGGGTTCGATAGACCCCCCTATGCAGGGAGGTTTGGACTTTTCAAGTCTGGCAATGGGCCGTGAAATGTTTGGGGTTGTGGGGGCTCTTAATTTTGGAGGGACTTTGAAACATGTTCTTAAATACCACATGGAGCTTAGTGTGGACTATGGAAAAGGGGCTGATTTGTCAAGAAGGGTCAAAAGCATTGTCAAGCTGGAGTTCCCAAGAGTGAAAGAAGCAGGAGATAAAGGAAAATACAGCTATAAATATGAAGAAGAGCTGCGGAAGGGACATGGAAGGGACTTAAGGGCCTCGGACATAAGGTTACCAGGTTAATGCGCTAGATTGATGGGATAGAAAGGACTGACAAAACCCGGGTCCAGGAGGAAGAGACGCTGGATGAAGATTGGATTGGTTTTTTTTATTTCTTTTATTAGGATTGTTTTATAAAATTGATGAATGTTAGAAAAATGTTGGAACAAAATTATTTGGCTTTAGCAAAAATGTTTAAAGAATCATGTAAGAATATTATGGTTATGAGAAATTGGTAAAAATAAGATTTAAGTTTTAAGTTTTAAGGTTTTCATAGTAAGATAAGATTAAAATAGATTAAGGTAATGACAGAATATTATGAAATATGGAAAGGATTTGCTGCGACAATTAATAACCAGGATACAAAAAAAGGGAGGAGGAGGAGGTCAAAGAAAGAAGGTAATGACAGTTAAAGATTTGAGAATATTGGATTTGTTTTTAAATGTTTGTGGTATATTTTTGTTTTTTGAGCGTGCTGTGCAATTTTTTGATTTTGATTTTTATTAACCTGTATTGTTTGATTGTGGTTTCTTTGTTTTTTCTTTGTTTTTCTTTGGTTTCTTTCATTTCTTTGTTTCTTTCTTCTTTGTTTTCTTTTGTAATTTTAAAATTTTCAATAAATATCATTTTAAAAAAAACTTTAAAAAAAACCTAGGGTTCCTAGTACTCTTTGGGGGAAGCCAGGACTGGCAACATGGTTTAAGTCTGCTTTAGATGTCTAGTGTGGGTGTGACCACAGACTCCTAATGGGGAGGGGGTGTAACGTGTGAATGCTTGCTGTCCAACTGTGTTGCCCCCCCTGTGCTTTTATCCACACATTCCAGGTGGGTGGTGAGTTACAGACTGCACCACCACTCCACTCTGGCTTTCATAGCTGAAGTGGTTGGTGCACACGCCTTTATACAGTTCTCACAAGCCATCGATTCCATAAGAACTAGCCCAGGCTACTTTGCAGTACTTTGTTTCCTCCACTGTGTTCACACTAGACATCAGCACTCGAGTTGTGTTAGTCACCTATCCATACCTGGAAACTGTAAGCTCACATCATGGCAGTAGAAAGGGTTATGCTGTTCTTAAAGCTGAATTAAAATCCCTCCCAGGACACTTCCAGATGAAGACAAATGCCCTTTGGGAGGGTGGTTCCCATGACCAGGAGATACGCAAGGCAGCTCTGGAGGGTTCGCCCAGGTGTCCTTTGCATCTAGGATTTCCTTTTGACAGCTCTGCCTGGTTGGCCAGCTATGGCTGCTCCTGGACAGGGAAAGTCTGACCACATGTTGGTAACCTTGAGGCTGGATTACAACAATGTGATCTATGTGGGGCTGCCCTTCGGCCTCATCTGAAAGCTCCAGTTGGTGCAAAAGGATGACAGAATTGTTAAAAGGTCTGCACTGGCTGCGCATCTACTACCGAGCCAAGTTCGTTGTCTTTGTGTTAGGGTAATTTACAAGTCCAAAATACCTAAGGGCGGCCTAACATCTCATCTGTCAGCTTAAACACTTAGATCATCTGGAGGAGCATCATGTCTTGTCCCCGGAGTTGGTGAGGCTCATCTGACAACAAGAATCCAAACCTTTAGCCTTTTGCCCAGTCCTAAGGACTGCTCAGTGAACAGAGATTCAGCAGGCAGTGAATCTTTAAAGGCCTGCTGAAAACATTTTTATAATGACAGCTTTATGCCAGCATTTAAGAAAATATTTAATGGTTAGTTGATGTTCTCTAATCTAATTTTTTTTACATGTTTTATGATATATGTAGAGAATGTAAATCACTTTGATATTTAGATGATATAGCAGCATATAAATATTTTTGTAAATAAAATCATCTAAGCTCCCCACAAAGAAATAGTAAGCCATAGAAGACACTTAACAGCATTAATGTGGATTTAATAGCAGATGAATTAATGTGGACAAAACCCCATACTCAAGATCCAGAATACAGAGGATGCTGAACTACTGTTGCACTTATTCAGAATATTCAGCTGAGGTGAATGGAAGGACATCTGTAGATTGGCAGGACATCTGAAATTTAGCTGTTGTCTTCTTTCACATGAGCAGGGGGCATTTTTGAGGATGCCAAAATATTACTCGTCTTTCACTACTGTGGAAGAAAGAGAGAATCTTTGTGGTGGATCAAATGATACAAAGAAGAAGAAGAAGCAGAAGAAGAGGACGACGAGTTATAACCCTCCGTTCCCGTTCCTCTCCCAGAGAGCCCAGGGCAGCCCACAGCAAAGATGAAGCATTAGGAAGAAGGTAAAAGCACAGTACACAGTACATCTCAGGAGCGACTCAAGGTGATAAGAGGTGAGCAGACCTTCCTTCAGAAACAGATGCCATTGTTCATTTTCCTTTCAAGGAATGATATCGTCAAGCATTGTGAGTTTTATGGGGGCAGAACATTCTTGAATGTTCTCAAATACAAGCTTGCAGCAGTTGTTTATCTCGTGAGTCTGTGGGGCTCATGGTCAACGTTCAGAGGCAGATGATATATTTCCTGCCTATAGAGCAGTTCTGTGTCTCTTTCTATGCTTTCTGTTATACTGTCTGTTTCTTTGCTTCTGTAACTGGATGAGGTCTTAGGAGCTGAAGTTTTGGGATTTTACTGGGGATCCAATAAGATCCTGTACGCTTTTAAACCTCAGTAAACTATAACTGAAGAATTCTGCTGCCTTAGTGTGTGTTTTTCCTTTGGAACTCTGCACGGGAGTTGCAGTTCATGCAATTGCAATCTGTTGCTATCTGCCCATGCCCTGGAGTTGCGCTAAAGAGCCATGGAGACAGGGAGTGGCTAGATTTTGCACCAGCCCTGTCAGATATTTTCTACCTGAAGGAAGAATCCCTTCTGGAGTCTGGCCATGGCTGCCTGAGAGTAGGCTCAGTACTTTAGATTTCTCAGTTTGAAAAGCTGGAAAGATACTTATGTTGCAGCACATCATAAAATATATGATATTATTTGCAGCTATACTGAAGTTGATGTTACTGTATTCTGTATGGTTTATCTTCTACTGGAGAAGACTGGTCAGTCAAAAAGCAACTGAGAACAGATATTGAGTTCAGCTGTTATTGAGTACAGTGGTACCTCAGGTTCCATACGCTTCCGGTTACAGATGCTTCAGGTTACAGACTCCACTAACCCAGAAATAGTACCTCGGGTTAAGAACTTTGCTTCAGGATGAGATCAGAAATCTTGCTTTGGCGGCGTGGCAGCCGAGGGAGGCCCCATTAGCTAAAGTGGTGCTTCAGGTTAAGAACAGTTTCAGGTTAAGAACGGACCACCGGAACGAATTAAGTACTTAACCCGAGGTACCACTGTAATGGTACACATTATTTTATTTTAATTGATTTTTATCTTCTCAGACATTCTGTTTGTCATTGTGCTAAGATACCTTGAGAAAAGTAAGCCAAAGGCTTTTTGACCATAAGGCTTGTTCAGTGGTCTCAAATAAAATTTGCAATATGTAAAATGTACCAAAAATCATTTCAAACAGTGCTTTTTGTTCAGTTGTGTTTAGGTTTTAAGGGGAGAGGATGCTGCCTTTCTGGGTTTGTATGGAGGGGTTTGGAGAGAGAGATAATAATATTGTACTTGGAGGCCTTTCCTGTTTTCAAGAAAAGGGGACATGCACCCATCAGAGTTTCTCAAATTTTGAAACGTGCCCATTTGCCCCAAAACGTTCACAGCTCCTGCCCTAAAACAGCAAGTTATTTGTTCTTACCAAAGCGTCCACATTCCTGATAGCATTGACTTTCATTCAGAAAGTTATTTGCATTCTTTCTACAGCCACCGTAAATGAAATTCTCACACTTCAGGGTTGTAACATTGAAGAAAAAACGTGGAAAACTTGCTCTGCATCTTCCTTCTTTCTTAGGGAGTTTGCATATATCAGGTAGACAATCTGGTGGGTAAAAGCAAAGAAAGGCAAGCCTCACATAAACATTATATCAAAGTCTGAAACACAGAAAGCAATGACATTGACCAGGTAACTCCACCTCACAAATAAAAACAGTAATTAACTCACATTTCTACCAGATCTAAATTTATACAAATATCTTTTCACAAACCTTCTCTTTGACATTCCCTAAATCTCTGGACTTCCCTCCATACCCTCTTCTGGTTCCATATATTAACTAAGTTCTTCTGCATATCCATTCTTAAACCTTTTCAATTATTATTTCCCTTAATTTTATCTAATTTTCTGCTAGTTGCAAGCATTTACTTAAATGCTTTACTTATATGTATCAACCTGTTTACAGTATTTTAGCACATAAATAATAAACGATTCCCACTCTTTTTTAAACTTCTCATTGTCATAGTCTCTGAGCTTTGCCGTTAATTTTGCCATTTCTGCATAGTCCATTAGCTTGATTTGCCATTCTTCTTTCGTTGCTATCTTTTCGTCCTTCTATCTTTGGGCTAACAATATTTGGGCAGCTGTTGTAGCATACAAAAATATTTTCTTATCTTCTTTGGGGAGTTCAGTTCCTATCAGTCCTAGTAAAAAGCTTCAGGTTTTTAACAAAAGTTAGTTTAAACATTTTCTTCAGTTCATTATAGATCATTACCCAGAAGCTTTTAATAACCTTACATCCCCACCACTGGGCTGTATCCAGTTCTAGCTGAAAGTCACTTTCCTGTTCTCAAAAGTTTAGCATTGGGTGTCAGCTGGGAAACTGAAATCCAAGACTTCTGGAAGAAGCCAAGTTCTCTATCTATGAACCAAAAATCACACAAAACAATATGGGCCAAACAACATGCCGCTCTCTGCCACTCTGGTGAGTACCACCTGCAAGGTATCTTGGATGGCATAGTGAAACAACACATTTTCCTGAGGATGCCAGAAGTCAACACTAACCACGAACAAGACTCCTATGTCCACACCCTGAGCCCTGAGCTTAGTTGGCAAAGATTGCTGAAGAGAG